TATATAAATTTCAAACATATCTTAGAATAGCTTTCCTAATGTAATGCATCTTTATTCTAAATCACATCCCTTTGAAGACTTCCTATTTATTGTCATTTGTATTTATTGTGCTGAACATTTTTCTATTTTTTTATACACCACCTGACAACCAGTTTGGATATGTTTTGTTGCCTAATCAAACACCAACAAAAACATAATTACGTAGATATATACTTGATAAAATAACTACTTTTGATATCAACAGAGGTGAAGGCCCAGATGGGATACCTCCCAGACAGAATTTTCACTAATTCTAAAAATTCTTTTGATAAGTTTGAGGTGGCTTTTCCCATCGAATGGAAGTCCTCGTTTATAATTCCTATATTTAAGTCAGGAGACAGGAACAATATTGCTAAGTGTTGTCCAATCTCTTCCCTTAGTACCATTCTGAAATGTTTTGAATTCACTGTGACAAATTGAACATATTGTTGTATTTTTATCAATCCCTTAGACAATTTGGATTTATTAGTAGAAAGAACATTGAAGCTAACCTTGCTTATTACATTTAATACCTACATGACACTTCAGAAAATAAATATCAAGTGGACAGTATTTATACTGATTTCAGCAAAGGTTTTAATTCATTTAAACTTCAACTACTTTCACATAAATTAAAAGCCTGTGATATATTTGGCACCCTGCTCTTGAGGTCTACAAATTATATTATAACTAGGGTTCAATTTGTGGAATACAAGAATTGTACTTTGGATTATTTCACGGTTCTGTCAGGAGTTCTGTCAGTTCTGTTGCCTCAAGGAACTCATCTGAGTCCACTTCTGATTATTCTTTTTGTTAATGATGTTTATTTAACTCATAATGATATTGATTTTTTATTTTTCCTGTTGACTTAAAACTGTTGAAAGTAGCAGGATTGGATGGTGCTATGATGATGCAGCGTTCTGTCGTTTTGCTAGGTGGTGCTTTGATAATGACTCAAATTTAAATCCTGTAAAAAGTAAATGCATTAGGTTCTCATAGTCTAGATCACCAGTATAGTATGATTATGAAATTGAGTCTGTTCTATTAGAGTAAGTTCCTACAATTAGGTATCTAGAAGTCTTTGGGGCCTTTGGGCTTCATTAAAAGAACCAGCCTTGGTTTCAGTTCGATTGTTTCATTGAAGTCTCTCCATCTGATGCTTGTTAAACGAATACTAATATACCAATCGCTAATTTGGTCTCCTTTTTACTTACATCAGATACAGAAAGTGGAAAAAGTACAACAAAAATTCTTTAGACTTACTGCAGCCTGTTGGGCACTGTTCAGATCCTTTTATTGACCATCAATATCGTGACATTAAATCATCCAGAGGCATGAATGACTTAACATTTCTATATAAAATATTAAATTTTAAGATAGAATGCTCTTTATTATTAAGTTAAGTTTAGAGTTCTTGCTATATCAGAAAGATGATCAGATCTATTCATTCTGAAAACTTATACTATGTCATTCACCGCAAATAATCCAATAACTAGAATATGCAAATTACTGAATTATACCTCTTGTGATTTTACCAACATAAGTTGTTGTAAAGTCCTGTCTTTGGTGAGAAACAGTTTGTGAGTACATTCATGGAATATTGTAAGCAGAGACTCATGTGCTATATCCATTTTTTTATTCTTTTTGTATTTTGCTGCGTGGACATTACTCTGTTAATCAAATAGATAAAATAAAAAAATAAAAAATAAAAATTAGTCCAGGGAAAGGAATACAAACTCTCCTATTGACATTCATTATGTCTTGCCAAGTTCTGCCTTATGTTGCTCTTCTTATTGTAATGCTTTTCTTCATGAATGTCTATTGGAATGCAGGTAATTTACTAAATATTCTCAAATATTTTCCACTTCCCCACTCCAAAAAATTAAAAATTATTAAGCCACACTTGTTATTACATTTTTTTGGCAAAATTGCTTGAGATGAAGAAACAACAATTTATTGTAATAATAATTTCAAAACTTTTCCTCAACCAGTGCTTGTAGTATTCCATTCAGCAACAGGAAAAATTATCTTTTGAGAGCAGTGTTCAAATATTGATTTTATAAAAAATCAAATTAATTCTCCAAACTTGTGATACTTTCAGGAGGAATTTGGCATGAAATTATGCCTGCATGTGCAGCTATTGACAATATCAAATGTGATTAAAAAAGTTTGTTGAAATACCAGCGATTGAGATTTGTGGTTCAAATATTACCTATATTTATTTCATGTTATTTTACATGCTTTGCATTTTTTTTTCTCATATGTTTGAAAATCTTTCTTGTCAAACCAATAATTAATCAAATCATTGGTATTATCATTATTTTAATAATTGTTTCTAACAAAATGGTGAAATTCTGTTTACAAGTATTAACAATAAAAAAATAATTTTGGAAACTATTATCAATATAATCCTTGTCTATCAGTATAATGTCTATTTTTCAAGACCAAAACGTACATACTTTTATTAGAATAATTAGAATATCTCTCTGAATGTAATAATGGAAATAAAGGAAGAATATATTATTTATTGCAACTACTTTTGTCCTGTAAAACACATAAGAATTTGAATTAATAGACTTTAGAAACTAAGCAGAACAGTAACTAAAGGGAAAGTAAATGAAAGGAAATTTTTTCGTGAAACACATGATGAATATGACGATTTTCATATATCTTCTGCAACCTTTAGATGGTTTCCTATTTCAAACATTCCATAATAGTTCTGTTTCAATTCCAAACTTGTACTCTTTAAATTAATTTCAGACAATTATTCAACATGTTTCCTGCAGATCATTAATTTATTTCTTACTCTCATTATGGATAATTTTGATTATCTTATAAGAGACTGGTCAATTCTGTCTCGAGTCATTTGGATGAGCTCATTCACTTGTGGAGTTAATATGGTGTAGAGGCTAAAGGCCAATAAAAAGCATTGGATCATACTTGCTCTATTAAGGAAGCCGTCTGCACTGCTCAGTTTTGGTGAACTCTGTCCTCTCAGAGCTGCTTGGAAAATAAATTAAATATTTACATTTTGTGGATACTTGCATGCACACTTGAATATTACATAAATATTTACATGATATTATTGTTTTATGTGTTTGAATTAAAATCATTTTATCTCCCCATAATATTATCTCAGTTTGCATGATTTTGCACTTTCTTTTTTGCCTCTTCTAATGATGGCACTATTTGATCAAGTAATACCACCACAGGAAGTAACATTATAACAACAAAATAAGAAAAAATTCCACAAAGAGGAAAAGAAAACTATTGTTTGTAGAACATAGCAGTGTGATTAAAAAATATCGTCGAATCTAACAAAATCTGCATATTAAGGTTGATATGGAAGTAACAGTGGGTACATTTGATATTCCATTCCTTATTCAAGATTAAAGGTGGGTGTTCAAATAAAAAGGAATTAGTCAAGTTTTTGTTCAAAATGAGTATGCTATGACATTGCTTTTCTACAATACTAACATTGTGTATAGGGGAGAAGGGACATTTCAATTTTGCCATTAAACTTTAATCCCTCTACATCAATGATAGTATCATAATAAAGCTTATGACCTGGCATACTTGGTTTGGTCAAAAACTTCATTTATCCCATTTTTTCATGTGTACCAGATATTTCAGATGCTGCAAAGAGAGGAAAGAGCAAGAGCTAAAAGATGGAGATGAAGAATCTCCCAGCACTGTTACTCTTCAGGTAATCAAGTGAATTCCAAATAAAATGGCTCTGAAGGTTTCTGTGAAAGTACTGCATATTATTTTGTTACTGACTTTCTCACTACTACTATTTATTTTGAATAATTTTAGGTTAGACTTCAAACTTTGCATGACACAGGTCCTACATTAAAAAGAGATATTTGAGGAAATCTTGAAGAACTAATTGACGATAATCCAGGCCCAATGGAATGAGTTATGAAAATCATTTAAGGTAATTCCAATGCAGTATTCAAATTCATATTAGTATAATAATAATAAAAATAATTAAATAAATAAACAAATAAAATTTAAAAAATTAAACATTACAAACTTGATGTCTTCCCAGATTCAAAACAGTGTCAACACATTTAGAAGTTGGAAAGTTCTTCTCTATCAGCTTTCAGCAAATTAACTTATTTAATGAAAATTATAAAAAAATTGTACTTAAATATTACTGCTTCAACTTCTATACACAATTATGAGTTTAATTTACTAACTTTCCAAACTTCAGCCTCTTAATGGGCATTTATTTTTTACTAATATGAGACAAAGATAGTGACAATCATATTCATGAGCAACCTGTGAGAGTACAGGGTCCCTCATCAGGCATCTCTCCAAGTGGCGGATAGGGGGATGCTCAGCAGACCAAAACCAGCGAAGACGATGGCAATGGCTCCAAGATGGAAGAGAGTGTGTGACACCACTCCAACAGCAGAAGAGGCAGAGCACTGAAATTAAAATAAAATGTCCAACAGCTCCAAAACTGAAAGAAGAACCCAAAAAAATAACACCAGAGGAGGCAGAAGAAACTTCTGAAATTTCTGAAAGAAGAAAGAAGCAGGGGAAGATAAGGCTCCAAAGCCATAGAGAAGGCAACTCTTCTAGAGCTGAATACCTTGAATAAAATATTTCTATCCTCTGGTAAGATTGGGGGTCAGGTTAACACTCTAACTCTGTAAAAATATAGAAAGTTGGGAAATCCAAAATATAGAAAAAACAGGATAGATAGTATAAATGACAAAAGCAAGTTAAAAGGACACGACTAAGGGAAATGGATGTAAGGATGGCAACACTGAATATAAAAACAATGCTACAATTAGGCAAGATGCAAGAGATAGAAAGGGAGATAAGTAAGTATGGCTATGATTTGGCAGCGATTCAAGAGATAAGATGGAATGGAAAAGGAAGAATTGGTAAAAAGGAATTTAGTATGTTAATATAGTGGTCCAGAATGAAGAACAGGATCATTGGGAATGGATTTCATAGTAAACGGAAAAATGAAAGACAGTTTTATTGGATTTGAACCCATATCAGAGAGGATATGTGAATCAAGATTGAAGGGTCGGTTTAGAAATACGACAGTTATAACATCCCATGCACCAACAGAAGAAGCTGAAAACAAACATAAAGAGGAGTTTTATAATGAATTGAATAGGACTGTAGACAATATTGTTAGGCATGATATGGTGATTATACTTGGTGATTTTAATGCAAAGATCAGGAGAGAAGAATTTATGAACCAGCTAGCAGGGAAAACTCACTACATGAAGAGATGAGTGAAAATTTCATACAACTAGGCTAGTTTGCAGCAAATAATTTGGTAATGAGAAGAATATCCTTTCTGCATAAGAACATCTGTAAAGGTACCTGGTAGGCGCCTATGATGGATGAAATGAAGCAAATAGGTCATGTCTTGGTGGTAGCAAGAAACACTACATCTTTTATTGATGTGCATACCTGCAGAGGATCTAACTGTAACTCCTAGCATATGTTGGTAAAAGCATATGGTAGGTAATACATCAAAGACAATCTAATGCCTAAGTGAAACTGCCAACAGAGAGAAAAAATGGAATCAAGAAGTGTTGAAGAATCTAACGAAGAGGGGCAGTTTTGAATTGGAAAAAAGTAAAAGGATAATATATATAATAGACATAGAAATGAGGTGAGAAAATATTAGCACTGCAATTGAGGAGAGTGCTAATGAATTATTGGGAACACAGAAAAAAGTAAGAAATGAATGATTTGATTAAGAATGTACAAGGGAAATAGATAGGGAAAATGAAGCAAGGAAAATAACATTGCTTACAGAAACTTGACAGACTAGAGAGAGATAAAGAGAACTTAGAAGAAATGCAAATGTGTGTCCATGCAGAACAACAGAACAAAATGAAGTAAATAAACAAAAGTATAATGAAAGAAAACAAAACTTATTATGCTAACTTAAATTAATTAAATCACAACTATTATTGTGTAGAACAAAGCCCAAAACGTATAAGATCCCGATTAGACCAGTAATAACCTATGGCACAGGGACATGGAATATGATTGCCAATGACTGTAATAAACTCTGAATATTTGAGAGGAAAGTTATAAGAATAATTTATGGTGCAGTACACAAGGGAGGAGAATGGAGGAAATGAAACTAACAGAAAAATTGATGAAATTTTGAAATGTGAAGGTACTGTTAGGTACATACTGTTAGAAAGATATTGTTAGTAAATAAAGTCACAAAGAACATGTTGGTTAGGGCACATCAAAATGATGGAAGATGAACGAACGTCTAAAATTATATATAAAGTTAGAATGGACAGAAGCCGTCACCCAGGAAGATCAAAAATAGATGAAGGGATGCAGTGGAAGCAGATGTGCAGACAATGAACCACTCTAGCGAACAGCTCCCCAAGATAGATGGTAATCTGTTGTAGGGAAGGCCAAAGTCATCCTCAGGTTGTAGTGCTGGAAGATGATGATTATGGTGTTTGTGAGAGAGAGAGAGAGTATCTTCATATTATAATGAATGATATTTTAAATTTATAAAAAAATCTTACTAATAGCTGTTATTTTGACAGTTGAACTTCCTTTCCTACACATGATAAATTTGTCAAGTACTTAACATAAAACTGTAACTATAAGTAAGATGATGTAACTATTCACTAATTTTAGTAGTTGTTAGACAATTGTATTTAGGAAGCAATAATGTCCCAGCTGGGAGGGTTCTCTGCTGGGGAAAATACTTAGAGGGGGAATACACCCACGAGCCAATGAGTAGGTCAGTGCATGTGTGTAAGCCAGTCCCAAAATAATTTATTTTCTATCTAGTTATGAACTGTTCACGCCTGTGAAGGCTACATAGATTTTAAAGCATACGGGCTCATATTTTTGAGAAAGCATGAAAGACCACATGAAATATCTGAAGGCTGGGGGAAGAGAAAAGAAAACTAAGAGAAATAATATAATACAAGCATAGTCTATTATTAGTGCACATAGTTGCTTTAAGGCAAGTTAGACTGAGTCCTTAGATTAACCACACTTGAAGTGATAGACATGATGTGCAGGGAGACAAGGGCAATGATATTGTTTTTTCACATACACTTAAGTTCAGGTCAAATACAGTAGAATTGGAAACCATAAATAATTAACAAAGACTTCACTATCTAAGTGCACTTTTTATCAGAGGTTTAAATAATGTTATGATTCTCAAAAGATTTGAAAGAGGTCTGTGTAGGTCATTTATTCACATTCAACTTTGCTGATTTGAAGTAACAAACATAACAGGCACATTTTAGTATAGATGTTCACTAAAGATAATACAACTGATAAAGTCAATAAACCTTTTGTCTCTAATACAAATCCTTGTTTTCTATACTCCATCCTTCAGTCCATCATCACTGTTTCATCTAATAGGTATATCAAACTTGCCATTTTACATATTCCTTCTTCATCTCTTGTGTTAAAAATAACTCACAAAAAGAGCAACATTAAAATGCTGGTACCTGCCAAAATAATGTCTAACTAATTGTTTCATTACATCTTTCAACTTACTTGCAACAATTTTTCAACACAACAATGAAACTTATAATTGGGGAAAAGTGGGTACAATGACAACAACGAGACATGTAGCACAGAATGAATAATTTGGGTTTGGTGATTGACACCTATTGTGGATCTTTAAGATATTTGTGCATTCTCTTTATTTGCTGTTTCAAAACTGCAGCTGAACTTCTGTCAAAAAAAATTATTCTTCAGAGATAAAAGAAAGTAAATTTTTACTGAATTTTTGCATGTATTCTTTCAGTAAGACATGAAGTATTGGACACATTTCTTTATGTAATGGAAAAGTTCATAAGAAGTTATATAATGATTTGAATTTAAAGATTATGACCAATTATGAATGAAGTCAGTCAGTTTAAAATTAAACCTGTATTTGGAAACAGTGGGTCATTAATAATGGAGGAACACGTCTCACTGTTCCCAATTCACATAGTTCCCATTCGGATTACTGGTGATTTTTATGTCTTTTCTTAAACCAGGTTTCCAGTATTCATAAATTATAAAACTTATTTTTAGAATGTATAATGTCTGATTGATTAATCTAAGATTTGCAAAGATATGCATATTTCTCTTTGACCATCATGTTTTTAATGAGGAGGATTTCCTTTCATTACCTGTTAATGATAGACCTTTTAATGAAAATCTGAGTATGCAAGTTTCACCTAATGAAGCACTTCCCTTTGAGACAGCTCAGGGGCAATCATTCCAAGTTAAAAGTACATCAATGTGTAGACCTAGAGATGCCGGTCCCTCAGATTCACAAACAAAATCTACTGATAGATATGTCTCTCCAGAAGTTGTAATGCAAAGTTTTTCAAAAGCTTAAGCAAGCAAGACTGGCAATCACTGAAGGCTTAGAGAAAGAACAATGATAGTGACACACATACCAGAAAGAAATTAACTTCATGTTAAGAGAAAACCTAAGGACATGAAAAGATCTAAACCAAAAATGCTTTGTTTCAAGAAGACAGTGAAGTTGATGACAATAAAGTGATTTTGCAAGATTTATCAGATATTTATGATCTCCGCAATGTAGTTCCTGAACCTCAGTTTGTTGGTGTCAAAACATAGAGAGACCATCAATCATAAGCGATTTATGTTTTAGTGGAATTCAAGATAAAAAAGAAAATATATTATGTAGGGAAAATTCTACCTGTAAATATGTCGTTTGAATAAGAAGATATATTTTGTACTTTGCTTCCTAAAATCAGTTTTCATGCAGAAATAGTACAATTAATCTTTAAGATTGTATTTCAAAAGATTTACCAACAGGTCAACAAAATTGTTTTGAATAGGAAAATAAAACTATATAGACACACACACACACGCACACACGCACACACACAGAGACACACACACACACACACACACACAAAACCAAACTAGCAGAAACGCATACAATACAGGGATGAACTGGACAACAAGCTACCTAACAACAGATAGACCTTGCCAGATAACAAAATAAAAAACATATTAAAGAATACCACAATAAAAAAAGCTTTCTATTCCTTGGAAGAGTTGTAAACCAGACTGTACATTTGATATTCAAAACAGATGCTATAAAGAAATATACTGTACTTGTAATAGTAATTAACTGTGAAGTTACATTTGTTATTATCTGTGTAATTGTAATTGTTATTAACTGTCTGATTGTAAATGTCATTAACTGCAATTAATTGTTATTAACAATGCAAAGTGGTATTAACTGTGTAAATGTAATTGTTCTCTAAATGTTAGAGAATGCTATTGTAACTATTAAATTATACAATTTTATAATTTATGTAACCTTTCTTTATATATTATTTTATATCCATTTAATTAGTATGTATATAATGTAAGTTTGTAACTGTTATATGTAATATTAATTTGTTTAATTATGACTATGATATAGATTTATTCAGACAAACAAACAGTATGACCTTGATTATGACCTTTAATTATGACCTTGAAATAAACTGTTATTGTTGTTGATATTATTATTATTATTATTATTATTATTATTATTATTATTATTATTATTATTATTATCATTATTATTATCATTAATATTATTATTATTATAATTACTACTACTACTACTACTACTACTACTACTACTACTACTACTGATCACTTATTACTGTACCATGGACATTATTACCTTGTACCTACTAGGACCAGGGATAAAAATCCTGATCAAGATGGGAGACATTGAAAAATAGATTAGCATTTACACCTAGTTATCTCTGGAAAATATTTTACATACTTCTAAAATCAAACAAACAAAGAAACTAACAAAGAAAACATGGTTGAAATATCCTTAACAATTAAAGTAGATTAAATACAAAAGCGCAAAGCTTGTATTAAATTAGTTAGTTAGTTAATTAATTAGGTAGTAGTAAGGTAACAAGTTTGCTAGTTAGAAAGTTAACTAGTTAGTTAGCTAGCTACCTACTTAGTAAGTTAATTAGTTATCTAGGTAGATAGTTAGTAAGTGAGTTAGGTAGCTAGCATCTTAGCTAGCTAGTTAGTAAGTTAGCTAGTAAGTTAAGTAGTCAGCTAGTTATTTAGTAGTTAGTGAACTAGTACGTAAGTTAACTAGTCAGCTAGTTAGTTAATTACTAATTAGTTAGCTATCTTGCTAGCTAACTATCTAGCTAGCAAGTTAGCTATTTAGTGCGTTAGCTAACTAGCTAGTTAGCTTATTAGTCAGTTAACAAGCTAGCTAGTAAGCTAGTTGGTTAGCTAGCTAGTTAGTTTATAGTTAGCTAGCTTGTTAGTTATTTAGTGAGCTAGCTAGTTAGCTTGCTAGTTATTTAGATAGTTAGCTAGCTAGCACGCTGTATACTAGTTACCTAGTTAGTTATGTAGCTAGGTAGCTAGTTAACTAGCAGCCTAGATTCTTAGTTATCTAGTTAGTTACTTAGTTATCTAGTTAGTTACTTAGTTATCTAGTTAGTTACTTAGTTATCTAGTTAGTTAATTAGTTATCTAGTTAGTTAATTAGTTATCTAGTTAGTTACTTAGTTATCTAGTTAGTTACTTAGTTATGTAGTTAGTTAACTCAGTAACTGTCTATCTAACTAGTTAATTAGCTAGGTTGGTAGCTAGTAAGTTTATTTGCTAGTTAGCTTGTTAGTTAGCTTATTAGTCAGTTACCTAGCTAGTTAGCATGCTAGCCAGTAAGCTAGTTAGTTCGTTCGTTAGCTAGTTAGGTCGTTAGTTAATTAGTTATTTAGCTTTCTAGTTAGGTCGTTAGTTAGCTAGCTTGTCAGTTATTTGGTGAGCTAGCTAGTTAACTTGCAAGCTAGTTTGTTAGTTAGTTAGCTTGTTTGTTTGTTAGCAAGTGAGTGTGTGAGCGAGCTAGTTAGTGAACTAGTTAGCATTCATACCATACCAATCTGACAGTGAACTATTGCACCAGTATGGTTTGGGAATAAATGTGAAAAGCTATGCCCACCCTGGGGTGACACCCCCCTGATGGAACATGAAATTGTGTGGTGTGGTAGACCACGTAGCGTCCATACCATAGATATCAGAGATACTGTTAGTAGAAGTATCCTCAGAGCAAAGAAAATGTTTGGTACATTATCCCGCAGATTTTGCTGCAGTATAAACGTGGGGGTGAAGACTTTGGAAGTCTTTGAGGTACTGCCAA